CATTGTTACCTCAATTATCTATTGTCCATCTCTAGGACTGTAAGCACCACAAGGCAAGGACTGTGCCTGTTTTATTCACCACTTTACTCCCCAACATTCGGCTAAGTGCATGGCACAGAATTAGCCAACAAATTTTCTTTGAATGGATGGAATATGCTTCTAGATAGCTTTTTGGTTCACCCAGAGAAAATCTGATAAAAACTATTGTAATCTAAAATCTTTCACAAATTTCTGAGAATCAAGGTTCAAGACATGCAACCTGTACTACACAGCTATTAGAAAAAGTTACTAGAAATCATTTGCGTTGAAGAACTCTGGAAGTTAAAACAATGTTTTAAAAGAAAGGGACAGGAGGCATTTCCATCCTATCTCCTTTTCTCCAGAAGTTTATTATCACCATTAAGAAGAAAATCCCATGCTCCCATCGTGAGGAAGTGACCCACTGGTGGCCTGGTCCTTGTATTCAGGATGGAGGAAGTGACTGTCCACAAGCCAAATGCCAGGAAGCGGGGGCAGATAGCCAGCCTGCCCCCACCCCACTCCCTCCTGCTACCGCTAGAAAGCTCCTGGACGGTGACCCTGGTGGACCCAGAGGCTTGGGTCACCCACACAGGTGGCTGGAAATCATAGGAGACAGAAGGTTCCTGGTGCTGGGAGAACAGCTGAGGAGGCAGGAAGCTGCAGGGTGGTGTGTGAGCTGACACGGAGAGGACTGCAGGCACCACCAACCCAACTCTGAAGCTACCCTTCACCCACAGACAACTCTTCCTTCAGGAGGTGTTTGGCCACATCTCTCTAGTCTCTAAGAGGCCAAGGGAGGACCCACCCTGGAGCACTCAGAACTTCAGGGGGCCTACTTTCCCCACCCTAGCAGGTATCTGAGTCCCAGAAAGAGTGGTATCCCAAACCCAATAAGTCCACACATTCTTTATTTCCTGCAAAGCGCCCCAAGCCCCGGGGGAGCCCAGGCACCAAGATACCCACGAGAAGTCCTGGGTCCTGGCGGGGAAGCCATATTCTTCATTTCCCACAGAAAACCCACAACCCGGGGTATCTCTCCATCTCCTAATTGTCCCGAACCCTCGAGGATTCTGTGTTCCTATATTCCACAGAGTTTCCACCCTAACAGAGCCCCAAGTCCCTCAACTTCCTTAAAACAGTTTTAATTTGGGGGACCTGCGGGCCCCAGGTTCCCGCAAAAGCTGGAACCCGGGCAGAGCCGGAATCCCTTCCGCCCGGGCACCTCAACTCGCGGGAAGTCGCCAACCGGCCCGCCCCTCGAAGCCCCCGGTTTCCCGAATGCTCCGCCCCCCCAATTCCCAGAGTCCAAGACCTCCGAGTCCCTGAAGAGCGCTTTGCTCCCCTCCCGCAAACAAGTCCTCCCTCTGAGGAGCTCAGACCCAGGAGGACTCAATCAGCCTGAAACACCCGAGAGAGACCACCGGTACCCCCAAGGAGCCACGGGCCCAGGATTCGGAGACACCGGCGGGACGGAGTGGCGCAGCCTTTCCTTACCCGCCAGCGCGGACATGATCCTGGAGCGTGGGAACGGGGAGGAGGTGGTGGGGGCCGCGGCAGCTCCCCTTAACTTCCGCCGCCGCCTCAGGCGAGGGAGGACCTCAGCCTCAGGCGCGAACGGGACGCACCGCCTACGGCGCCCGGGGAGGATCAAACCACACCTGCACGGGGGCCGGCCTGATGACGCTCCGCCCGCCGCTGCCAAACCCGGCCTCCGACTCCCGGCCCCCTGCTCTGGCTCCTGCTCTGAGATGGCCCTGGCGCCCCCTAGCGCGAGCGACGTCCCCTCTAGGTGCTCGAGCTGACGAGGAATTCTGCGAAGGCTGGAAGTCTTAGCACAGAGGAACCTACCTCATCTATCTCATCTACTCCAGTCCTCCCTCATTTTAAAGATGGGAAACGCTGAGGACCGGAAACGACGAGTTCGGCCACCTCAAAACGGCTCAGATCATTAGGAGCAGAGCTGGGATGGAAACCCAGGCCCCTTGACTGGCGGTGGAAAGCTGTTTCCAGTAGTGTTTGGAACCAGGAAGCCAGGTCTACCTTGCAAATAGCTCTGGGGGATCTTTCTCAGACGCTGGAAGGAATCCACTTCTCTGCGCCACTGTGAGTAAACTGAGAGCAGATCATCTCTAGGTCAAAGATGGTACGGAGGTGGCGCAACCAGCATTCAGAGGCCAAGTAGGTATATAAACGAACGCAGCACGCTGGAGCGTCCCATTGGAAGAAGAACCAACCCCCTGCTGGAACACTGGCCTGCTATTCCCAGATCTTCCAGTTTTTCAGACAAGCCCCAAATCCAGGTATTTAGATGAAATTTCTCACTTTTTACAATGTTGGTAACATTCAAAAAATGTTAACGTTCTTTGTAGGCCAGATGAAACTCAACTGTGACTAGATGTGTCCTGAGGACTGCCAGTTCAGAGTCTCCTGTGAGGAGGAGAGATCACCAGACTGAGACAGCAGACTGGGTTGCGGCACCCGTGGAGTGAGTGGCTTTGAGAACCATTTCCCCTCACTGGGTTTGGAAGGAGATTGGGATCCTCCGTGTGATGTAGGTACGTCATTGACCATGTCAGCTAGTCCTTGATGACGCTCCCATCTGCTTCACTTATGCTGGGTCTTTGACAACTGTTGTTTCCCTAAATTACATTTAGATCGTGGGAAAAGTAGACAAATGACCAGAAAGAGGCAGGGATGGGGCTCAGGGAAATGGATGCCGCCCCTCATTCCCCCCACCAAGGACAAAGGTCAACTCAGCTGCCTCTGATCCCAGCAATCAGGTAAGCAAAGACAAGCACAATTCTTTCTTATCTTACTGTCTGATTCAAACCGGATGTCAGTCAGATTTTTCTCCTCTGGGTGTGGCAGGTGGCTTCTGATGTGCACAAAGTGCAAGGGAGGAGGGCCATGTCTGACTTCCGTTGATTCTTGGGAACACTTTTCAGTAGTTGATTTTATAGTTTCTGAGGAAATCATTGACTATAGTAAACACGAGATTGTGTATTGAATTAAAGTGACAGGAATCCAGGGGACTTTCCTGACAAGTCACCTCATGGTTAGCAAAAAGGGACAGGGATTTTACTCATCCTGCATATAGAAAGAGGTTACAATGTACTTTCCCAGGAACCAAGGCACAGAAAGCTGGGAACAAGACTCTCTGGGTGTCTTGTTCTTCCCTCACCCCCTGCCCAACAGCAAAGTACCCAGGTCTATCTCTTCTCCCTCCTCACTCTCTCACATTCTACTTCTTTCCTACCTCCAGTATCATGATCTTCACCAGCAGGGAATAGGGGAAATAGCCAACCCCCCCCCCCAAGTTCCTCCCAGGGAAGTTCAGTTGACTCTCAGAATTGTAAGTTGAAACATAAAGGAAGGAAATAGCTTTCTATAGAAATGCTATAACCAAGAGATATCGTTTCAGTATGGACCCAGAGAATACAGCAAAATCAATTGTGAACTCGAGGGACTTCTGGAGGGACTTCTGGAGGGCAGAAAAGGCCTGGGCAGGGAGTAGAGATACTGGGTTTCTAGCACCCGTCACCTGTTCAGTTTAGCCAACCATGTCTTGGCCAGTCCTTGAGGCCCAATCCTGCCAGCTACTTCACAATTTTCTGAGCCTAGAACTCTGAAAACCTGGACCATGAACACCACCTCAAGGTTTGGCTGTCCTGAGGCTACTGGTCTATGTACGCAAGCAAATCTCCCCAGTGTCACTGCCAGTTGCTTCAAACTGAGCTGGTCTCTGGCCTCTAGTCTCTGCCCTCCTTGAATCTTCCCACCTCAGACAGACCAACTAATCTTCCATAAATGTTTCTGATCCTGTTACCTCTCTGTTCAAAACCTTCAATAGCTCCCCACTGCCTACAAAATAAAGGCCAAGTCAGGCCCTCATGAGTTAACTACATCTCACTCTACAGCCTTGTCTCCCTACTCCCTTCACTGCCATTCCTACAATCCCCAGCTCCGCATGTTCTGTTTGCTCCCCATTCTGCCCAGAGTGCAGTCTTGTTTCTCAACTCTAAAAACATTTTCAATTGTATCATTTTGCAGCCCCTATGAATGCACTGCCCAATGTCATATGTGCCTATTTACATTAAGATGAAATGAAACTAAGAAAAATTTAAAAGGTACACAAGTAGTATTTTGCTTATGTTTTAAAAATCCTTATCTTTGAGATGCATACTGAATTATTTAATAGATGACATATGACTGGGGTTTGCTTCAAAATAGTCCAGACAAGGAAAGAGGAAGAAGTGTGAGGGTGGTGCAGATGCAATAGGACTGGACTAAGTTGATAGTTATTAGAATTGGGTGATTGATACACGGAAGCTTTATTATCCTATGCTGTTAAAGTGCAGTATTTTTTTTCCCATTGAAAACAAAAATCATGTTCTTATTGAAGGCCCTTAGTTTTGCATTCCCCACTATATCTTGGCACTATTCAACTTGATAACTGTTAGGTTAAAACCTAAGAGGAAGAAAAGAGCTTTTGGAGGAATTACTTGTAGCTCTGGTATGTTGAGGAGCCTGAGTCTGGGCCAGATTTGTAACCTCCCAACATCTTCCATCTCATACCACACCCTGTTACTGAGGAACCTCAGAGAAACACACATTCTTTGCTCCAGGGAGAGGACTTAGCCAAGGGACCACTTGCCCTGTTACTAAATATATGGAAAGATGCTGACACTGAGTAACCTGTGATTTTCCTTTGACAAGCAGCTTGTCTCTTGCAAGCTTAGGAATCCCATGTGTTTGTCAGGACTGGGTCTGCCTGTCAGACAGGTTACACCTTGGGCAGGACTGTGTATGAAGCCAGGCCTCCAGCCTACACGTCTCACCTTGAATTATCGATGACTGCTTGAAAACTTTCATCCTCATTCATTACCAAGGATGTGCAGGTGCTTTCCAGAGGCCAGATCAGTGTGACTTACTCCCACCAATTCACCCTCCATGACACAAACAATAAGTCCAAGCTCACAGTAATGTAAAACCATTTGTTTAATTCTAAATCAAATCACTTTCACAACAGTGAAAATTAGTGACTGGTTAAGGTGTGCCACTGTACATCATTTTCTGACTGTGGTCAGGACCCGGTCCCAATCCACAAGGGTGGCAAGAGGAGGGTGGAGGCTGAGAACACAGAAGAAACACACAAAAGAAAGAAAAGCTGCCTTGGCAGAAGGATAAATGGTAAACCTGCAGAGGGCCAGTGGAAGGGGGCTCTCTGTTGGGGCTGAGCCAGCAGTCCCAAGTCAGCTCTCCTGCCTCAGCTCTTGGCAGAGGATGAGAGGGGACATATATGGTTCAAAATCAAAGGGCACATGGCCAAGCTGGCTTTTTTAAAAAACAAGTTCCTGGATGCATTTGTTGATGGAGCTCTCCTGGGCTAACTCCATTTCATTAGAGTCCAAATGATTGGTCTTCCAATTCACAACTCTAATCTTTCTTCTGGAAACCTGTTTCTGTTGAGCCCATCTGAGTGAAGTCCTCTCTCCCTCCACTAGTTGGAGCCACTGCACTGAGGAATCGCACCAATTCACTCTAAAGCAGAGAAACTCCAGGGCCTTTTTGACGTTGGAACTTTCCAAAAGATGATAAAACAGCACTCCTGAGTAGGTGCCAAAGAATATCTAAAATCCATCAGGCACATGTAAAGCTGGTGGCTTATTCCTATCAAGTGGATTCAACAAATGAGCCTAAATACTTTTGTATTTTGTCCGTTTAAACACTGAACTCTGGCATTGACAGGTGCAAAAGAGAAAGGGTGGGGGTTGTGGAAGGGGGAGGGCATCCCTCACCTTCATCAAAGTCCATAAACTATGCAGAATGATATCTGGAAAAAAAGTACTAGAGGGGCTTCCTACTATTTGTTGGCTATTGATGGGGATTAGCCAGGAGCAGTGTGACAAAAGAGAGGAAGTACCTCCCAGAGGAAGTCCATCTCCTCGCAACTTTGGGGTCTCCAGAAGAGGGTGGATTTCTAAAACGAAGCCTGGCAGGCAGAGCAAGAACTGTTCCACTAGGTGAACTGTCCTACCTGCCTGCTACCAGTCCCTTGGTAAGATTCAGAGGAAGAATCCTGCAAGCTCAAAAAATAAATCAAGATCTTAGGAAGAATATTTTTCCCTGGAGTCCTCAGGAAGGAAGACAACATCATATCATAGTGCTGGGGCTCTCCAGACCCTGCTGCCTGGCTGTACACATCATCAGGGGTTGCCTGCTTGGGAGTCACATGCTTCCCTGGTTTTAGCACACACACAAGTTTTCAGGGAAACCCGTCAAGCCATAAAAAATCAGGGGCACATGTGGGTCTCCCCTCTCCCTGCCGCTTCATAAAGGACAACCTGGCTTCTGTAGATAGTGGTCTTCAACATGGAGCTGGGCTGACTTGACAAATCCTTGTTTCCTCTGGGTAGGTTCCGAGAAAGGATGCACTCGAGCTTCTGCAGCCCAGGGGACAGACTGCTTGTTTGGTTGTTCCTGCATCAGAGCTCCGAATCCCATGGAAGCCCTGACTCCAGGTTTTTCCTATGCACAGCAGTCAGTTCCAGCTTCAGCAGTAGTCTAGACTGTTTGCTCTCTGGCAGAGAGAGGCAGATGCACATTGTTTTAGGGAGAAAGTTGATGGGAAATGAAGTTGTGAGTGAAGCCACATGTCTTACCAGGGATAGTCTATGCTAGGAAACCAGGTGGTCCTTCAAGCTACTCTCTGGGGCTAAAGACACTGAGCAAGGGCCAGAGCCAATAAAAGATCTTTGGGGCTCTGGTAAATTCATGAAGTAACTCCAGCTTTAGCTGCTGCAACTATGATCTTTGAGGGACAGGCAGCAATTTCTTTAATCTCTGCTGAGGAAAAAGAGGGTGGGAGGAAGAGGAAAGAAGTCAGAGCAGCACTGGGATTTGGAAGGGGAACCACTCTGTATGAAGAGCCTCTGCTGGCTTCAGAGGCCACTAACCAAGGGTATTTAAAGAGATGAAAGTTTACATAAATACCATTTGGTCCATCCTTTGTTTTTGTAATATTAAACTCTCAGGTGAAATTGTACTCTGACAGTTTTGCTCTTCCTGCCTCTTCCCTATGCAGAGTCAGGACCCATGAGAGGGGACTCAAAGGCAAGGCCTGAGGTTTCAGTAGGATGTTTACAGCAGTGGCAACACTTGGGGGTCCTCACCAACTGGTTTTGAGTTCCAAAGCTCTGGAGCAAGACTCCTTGATGTGTTATTGATCCTACTGATACCAGGGGTCAGGATTAACCAGGAAGCCAAACACCAGTAGTAGGGGTGGCACATCACCAGTCCAGAGGTTCTGCCATTGATGCAGGCAGGAGCCCAGCATTAAGCAATCAGAAGCCAGAACATGATCACAAGGGCTACAAACAGGAAGAGGCGTGACAGGAACTGCTCATCCACATACTGGGGCGTCCCAGGGACAGCTGGAAAGACAGTAAGGAGAGGAGAGGCTGTCAGAATGCTGCAGCTGTGCACACTGCCCATTCGGGCCAGAAGTCAAGACCGTCAATCTTTATCTTTTACAACAGAGTCCTGCACACTAAAAAGATTTTCAAACCTCCCAAAATATCAGGCAAAACAAAAATATGAATAATAATATAACAATAAGAACAATTCAAGATCTACAATTTATCATAAAAGGGTTTGACCGACATGTGCAAATAAACTTTTGGAGGAAATAATGAAAGAAAAGCTACCATTTGTTAAGCATCTTCCATGTGCTAAGTGTTTTGTACACATTAGTGCTTGGCTGACATTATTATTCACATTTTGAGTAAGAAGCAGCTGAAGCGTAAGTATGACAAGACCTGCCCAAGATCACAAGGTTCAGGAGTTAGTGGCAGAACTCTATAGTCCTGCTCTTCAGCCTCTCCACACACTGCCTCCCAAGGCCCCACAAGGAATGCCTTCCTTTTCCAAGAGAGAACGAAGACTCAGGCAAAATGGGTTGTCTTCCCCAATATATAACAAGGTAGAGGCAAAGTGGGGTGAGAACCTAGGTATCCAGTCCTCTCTGCTTTAAGAAAAACTACCATTTAGAGCTCCCTGTCCTGACTTAGAGGGGAGAAGGGTAAAAGAATCTACCCATCCAGGATGGGCAAATTATACCAAACATGACAAGAGAAAACTGTGGTAGGGGGATAAAGCAATCCAAGGTCTAGCCTGGCTGTGGAATTCTGTGTAACTAAGGGATCCAGGCTGAGCCTAAGACCAGGTTAGAAGGAGGCAAACTACCAGGCAGGTTCCTGCTGCCTCCACAGGGATCTGTCCTTTCTTCAGGGCAGAGCATACACTGCCCTTTGGGTTCTCTTTCCTTTGAAAAAATAACATATGGCCGGGCTCGGTGGCTCAGCCTGTAATCCCGCGCCTTTGGGAGGCTGAGGTGAGTGGATTGCCTGAGCCCACGGGTTCGAGACCCGCCTGGGCAGCGAGACCTCATCTCTACAATAAATCAAAAAATCAGCCGGGCGTCAGTAGCGCATGCCTGTAATTCTGGCTACTCGGAAGGCTGAGGTGGAAGGATCGCCGGAGCCCAGCAGGTCGAGGCTGCGGTGGCCAGGAGCGGCCACTGCACTCCAGTCTGGGTGACAGAGTGAGACTCCAACTCAAAAAAAAAAAGAAAAGAAAAGAAAAAACAACATATGAACAGAGGAGAAACTTTTGAGGTAGATAAGGTAAAGAAAGAGCATCCCCAAGATCTTTTGGTGCTGAGACTCCTCAGATCGGTGTTCTGATGGATTCATGCATGCAGGCAGTCAATAAAGACTTAATAGATCACTTACTATGTGCCAAGGACCAGGGTGGAATGGAGAAGAACTGGGATGAGCCAGCAGTCTCTAAAGCATAAGCTCCTGGCCAGAACCACACTTCCAGTCACTTCTGTACCTTGCACTGCAGCCAGTACACATGAGGCTCCAATGAATGTGAACAGAGTTCAACTGGTCACAGCATCTCTGCAGGCTCCATAAGGATCCTGGCTTGGGTGTCAGATTATGATAACGTATAGGGCACCCACCTCACTGCCCTGCTCTATACTGAATGTAGTTGACATCCTCAAACAGCTGGAGGGAGAAACACAGCTGCAGGTGGCAGACCTAGGTACAGTTCCCAAAGGGCCCAACCCCATGTTGTGTCCTGAGGGAAGTTGGACAGAGATGCCAGAGAATGGAAATGCTGATTTCTTGTGGGTTAGTTTGCACCTCCCTGCCCCCAAATAGTAAAGTGTGGGGTGGGCAAGTACATCTGCAGAACTAGGCTTATCATTTATAGTATTTCATTTTATAGAGATGGGGTCTGTCTTAGTAAACATTACTGAGCATTTTCTGACCTGTGAAACAGAGCTAATCACATGCCTGTTCCACACTGTGGTTGGGATGATCTTCTGAATTTGAAATGGAAAGTGTTCTACATGTGCCTAATGTTTGGTAAGTTCTCAATACTGTTAGCATGACTACAAGTGATCAAAAAGAATTTAAGACATTTTCAAAAGCTGATTATCTGTGTAGTGACAATTATCTGTAACATATGTACTGAATTCCAGGGAGCTTTCAAGCAGTATTACTAAGATATCTTCCTGACTGTTCAAGGAAATAGGGTCTTACCTGGAGGAGGCCGTCCATCATTTATGTTAAATGCTGTGGCAAATATCCCAAAGGGAAATGCTCCAATTCCAAAAGACATCTGGAAGCCACCATCTCCAAATCCAAATCCTTGAAATCCCTGTATAGAAGAAATGCAATTAAGAAAAGGGAAACAATCAGGTTTCTCCTGCGTCTGTCAGACTCAACATACCTCACATGTCATCTTGCATGTGGCACCCACCTCTTCTCCCTAACTTCTGCCACATGCTTCCAAGGGGAAACAGCTTTTCCTCCCATCTGTACCCCAAAGTAGAGGAACTCTGGCTTCAGCTCTGGCAGTCCCTTTACATTTCTAGCCTTAGCTTCCAGCTAAAGATTTGTGAATGGGCCAAAAAAGACTGACCCAATGTGAAACACTCTGCTGACATGAGTCAGGGCTCTCAAGGCTCAAGCTCTTTTCAGAGTCCCACATTAGCCAGTAACATTTTCTACATGCTGTATATCAGCAATATTGACAATCACCCTCAGGCCCAGTTACAAGTGAACATCAAAACAAGCTATAATTATGTGTAATGACAAAAATGTGGAAACCCTAATTAGCCAACAGTGAAAGTCATGATCAAAATCTTGAAACATGCTCTCAAAGAACTATTATGCCGACTTATACAGTAACATAGGAAAACTCTTGTGACCATTATCAGACAAAATTGTTTAAACACCATGGTCAAAAGTACATGACAATATGTAGGTATATGGATAAGATATAGATGAGTATTTTTCCTCAAAATTTTCTTTTAATATTACATAGAATTTTTAAAACTTAAACATTTTTTCTGATTATAAAAGTAATATATGCTTTTTATAAGAAACTCACAAGTTACAGAAATAATTCACAAAGCAAGTCAGAGGTCTCCTATTCACCCTCCTGTCTCACAACCACTTCCTCACCCCTGAAATAACCAACAGCAGTATGATATATCGTCTTTAGTTTTTTTTCCTTGTATATGTTCTACACCACATCAACTTTCACATGGAAAAAATCAGTATGAATAATAATACTGTGAATAAATTAACTCCCTTTTGTAAACTGCAAATTCTGTGCCAGGCACTGCGTTAAGCACTGGGAAACACAAATCATATTTAATTTTTACATTAGCATTATCTGCATTTTACAGATGACCAAACTGAGGCTTGGAGGGGTGAAATAACTTGATCAAGAAGTGGAGTTTAGGCTGAGCTCGGTGGCTCAGCCTGTAATCCCAGTACTTTGGGAGGTCGAGGCGAGTGGATTGCCTGAACTTGTGGGTTTGAGACCAGCCTGGGCAAATTGGTGAGACTTCGTCTCTACAATAAATAAAAAATTAGCCAGGTGCAATAGTGTGCGCCTGTAGTTCCAGCTACTTGGAAGGCTGAGGCTGAAGGATCATCAGAGTCCAGCATGTCGATGCTGGGGTAGCTGTGAGTGTGCCACTGCACTCAAGCCTGGGCAATGGAGTGAGATTCCAACTCAAAAAAAAAAAAGTGGAGTTTAGATCTAAAACTAGGTCAGTCTGACCTGAAAACCCATGTTCTTAATTACTGTGCACATCTTTTTTTTTTTTTTTTTTTTTTTTTAAGTGGAGTCTCACTCTGTTACCCAAGCTGGATGGCACTGGCATGCTCCCGGCTACCGCAGCCTCAACCTGCTGGGCTCAGGTGATCCTTCCACTTCAGCCTTCCAAGTAGCTGGAATAACAGGCACACGTCATCATGCCCAGCTAATTTTTTGGTTTATTGCAGAGACAAGATCTCACCAAGTTGCCCAGACTGGTCTCGAACCCCTGGGCTCAGGCGATCCACTCACCTCACCCTCCCCAAGTGCCAGGATTACAGGCATGAGCCACTGCACTAGGCTTACTGTGTACATCTTACAGATATATATATATTTTTTATCTTCCTTTGCCTCCCTGGTAAGACCTTTAGAACATATGATTTTAAAAAATAATAAAAAGAAGAAAAAACATTGGGCCAACCATTCTCCATAAAGAGCTGACTGGCCTTCATTTGTGAGTCTTTTGCAAAAGTAGTGGCTCCCTGTCCTATATTGAGCAACCTAGCATCCAGTTCTAGTTCCAGTTAAGAGGTAAACCTGTAGAGAAGGAAAACAAGGAGAGTTTCCATCTCTTTGGTGCAAAACTGCCTCCTACTCAGACCCTGCATGGTTGAGTCTCAGGGCTCCTGGGACAGATTGCCTTCCCTAGGACGGTGCAATTGTTTCATCAGGGACCACGGATTCACTCACTGCAATCCTGAGGACTAACTTTCTCTATTCCCTTCCCACAACATCTATACGATCCTCACATTTGGTGGGTTTATGTTCCTGAGGCAGAGTATTTGCCCTCATTACTAGTAGCTGCAGGTGGTTATAAATGCTAGAGGTGTGCACCACAGTCATCAAGGCCTGAGCCTCTGGCTTCCTATGTCCTGTGATTCCTGCATTAGTTGCTAATGCTTCATAGGGAACTAAAGTCTGGGAAGGTTAAGTGGTATCACCTAGTGGTCAAGAACAGAGGGACTTTAATGCAAGCCAGATCTGGATTTTAGCACTGTATGTATGGCCCCTGGACAGGGCACTTCACCTACCTGGGCCCGAGTTTCCTCTTTTGTTAAATGGTTTAATGTAAGGCTTAAATGAGATCATGCATATAAGCTCTTAACATATAGTTCTTTGCATATAATAACTATGCAACAAGTATTCACTGCTAATATTATTATAAAAGGTAACCTGGAGAAAAGACCCTTGATTTCTATCAAGATCCCTGATTCAACAATCCTATTCCTGGGAATACTGAGGAAATGCTATATCTCAAATTTTTATAAAGAAATGTGTACAAAGATGGTCACTGAAACTTTTTTTTTTTTGAGTTGGAGTCTCACTCTGTCACTCAGGCTGGAGTGCAGTGGCATACTCATGGCCACCCCTGCATCCACCTGCTGATCTCAGGCGATACTTCCACCTCAGCCTTCCAACTGTAACATTTTTTAACATCAAAAAATGTTGATGAGCCGGGCTCGGTGGCTCAGCCTGCAATCCCGTGCCTTTGGGAGGCTGAGGTGAGTGGATTGTCTGAGCCCGCGGGTTCGAGACCCGCCTGGGCAGTGAGACCTCATCTCTACAATAAATCAAAAAAAAAAAGAAAAAATCAGCCGGGCGTAGTAGCGCATGCCTGTAATTCCAGCTACTTGGAAGGCTGAGGCAGAAGGATCGCTGGAGCCCAGCAGGTCAAGGCTGCGGTGGCCGGGAACAGCCACTGCACTCCAGTCTGGGCGACAGAGCGAGACTCCAACTCAAAAAAAAAAAAAATGTTGATGTTAAAGAAGGTACTTCAATGAGGAAAACCTAAATAAGAATGTATCAAAAAATAAATGTATCAATAAAATAAATGACAGCAGGCTGGGCTCGGTGGCTCAGCCTGTAATCCCAGCATTTTGGGAGGCCGAGGCGAGTGGATTGCCTGAGCCCATGGGTTCGAGACCAGCCTGGGCAACTTGGCGAGACCTCATCTCTACAATAAATCAAAAATTAGCCAGGTATGATAGCACATGCCTGTAGTTCCAGCTACTTGGAAGGCTGAGGTGGAAGGAACGCCAGAGCCCAGCAGGTCGACACTGGGGTGGCCACAAGTGTGCCACTGTACTCCGGCCTGGGCGAGAGAGTGAGACTCCAACTTAAAATAAAATAAAATAAATGACAGCTTTTAAAAATAATAAAGGGACCCTTCAGACCATCAGGGAAGATACTGCCAAAATTACATTTTAAAACAGCAAACAGACCAGGCATGGTGGCTCAAGTCTGTAATCCAGCACTTTGGGAGGTTGAGGTGTGAGGATTGCCTAAGCTCAGGAGTTCGAGACCAGTCTGGGCAACTTGGTGAGACTTCATCTCTATAATAATTTAAAAAATAAGCTGGGTATGGTAGTGCATGCCTGTAGTTCCAGCTACTTGGAAGGCTGAGGTGGAAGAATCGCCTGAGCCCAACAGGTTGAGACTCAGGTGACCGTGAGCGTGCCACTGCACTCCAGCCTGGACAACAGAGTGAGGCTCCAACTGAAAAAAAAACCGCAAAAACCAGCAAACAGAATGGTGATGACTACATACAAATACATATACACAGCATACAGATTAAGAGAATGTGGAGAAATGAGAATATACTTGTTCTGGAATCCCGGAAATATGGGTAAATATTTTTCTTTTAAAATTTCTTTAACTGTTTTGTTTTTTTTTTGAGTCAAAGTCTCACTCTGTCACCCAGGCACTGAACCACCGTACCCAGCTTCTTTAACATTTTAACAGGAATATTTTTTAGAACTAGCATTTAAATGTGCAAATTTTTTAGCCAGTAATTTTACTTCTAAGAATTTACTGTAATAAAATAATGGTGAATCCACTCACACATTTATCTATGATTAGTTCATCAGAGTATTTTTAAAATAGAAAAAAGAAAATGAAGCAGCTAGATGTCTAACAGAGGACTGGTTAAATAAATCAAGTCCATACAACGAAACACTAAAGAACCATTAAGTAAAATATTGCTGGCATGTAAAATCTCAAGATATGTTGAAAGTCACTCATTCTGATAATATAAACTCTGTTTAGGCAGGGATCTTTGCTATGTTCACTGATATATCACCACTGCCTAGAATAACACCTAGCACACAGAAGGCACCTAATATTTATAGAACAAATGAAATTTTATAAAATGGGAGCCATATGTTGTAAAAAATAAAAAAGTATAAACACACCTATAAAATACACACACAAATAGGTCGACAAAATCTCTACATGAGTGTATATATAATTATAGAAAAATGGAAAAGAAAATATACCAAAACATTTCAGTGGTTATCTCTGGATTGGTGTGGTTATAAGTGATTTCCCCCCTTTCCCTTTCTGTATTTTACAAGTTTTCTTTTTTACAATCAAAGAGAAAAGTTGTAGTGCCAAGAAGAAAACTTCTAAAGCCATAGGCTCATTTCTAGAAGCTTCTTCTAGAATGTTCCTCACCCCTCTGTTCTCTGGCTCTGGCCTCTGGCCTTGAGGTCGGGGAGGAGTCTTCTCTCTGAAACAGAAATGGTATAAAATAAATCTATTATAAAATGCTTTGAGTTGTTCCCTTTGAGGACTGGGAGTTCTTCACCAACAGCATCAGAGACATGGCCCCTTTTCTACCCCGAACGTGAACTTATGCCAAATTAAGCTAAATATGAATTACTCATTCTACCTGCAATTGTTCTTCCCAGCTGTATAGAGAATCAGGGAGAAAATCAAATTCTTGTGAGATATTCATCAGGTTGTACTACAGCCTACTCCTCTCACAGAGATCCTGACTCAGACTGGTTAGGAATGACTGTCAGATGCCTTCCATGATATTGTATGATATTGGTGTAATGGATGTCAGAAATCCCACATCCAAACTGAAACAGAAAATTTTATTTTACTATAGAGATGTGGGGTACAAATAAGGATTAAGCATGCAGGTGAAGTTTGGGCCTCCAACTAGCCCTCACTTCCCCTGGTTTAGGACCAGGTACCCTCTGTGTTGTTATGTGCCCCCCATCTCGCCCCCTCCCCTGGCAGTACCCAGCGACTGCTGATCCCTCCCTTGTGTTAATGTGATTAATGTTCAGGTCCCACTTATGAGTGAGAACAGGTGGTATTCAGTTGTTTCTGTGACAGACGGTATGATAGTCTCCAACTCCATCTAATTTGCTGCGAAATCCATGATTTTGTTCTTTATGGCTGTACCACAATACTCTTATGCAAGTTACCCCATTCTATTCTTCTCACCTCTGAGACCTCTGGGTCTCAGTCCCTCCAAACACTCATCCCATAAATGTTCAGCTGAGGGCTTGTTACAACCTGTTGGGCTCAACCTGTTGGGCTCAGGGCTAGGCACTAGGCAGGATGCTACCAATACTAAGACTGATGACAGATCCTACTCTTGAGGTATCCAATGCTTCAAGGGAGAGAGAACCAATCACAAAAGGGTATGGTGGGAACATGGGTGAGAGCAATGAATGTAGGGAAGAAAGACAACTTCAGGGAGGAGGTGACTATAGGGATGCTCATAAAAGATGGGTAGAAGTTTGAGGAGGCAGGGGTGGGGGTGAATTGAGCAGGACTGGGTAGTGCAGAAGAGGCAGAAAAGAGAGTAAATATAAAGGCCAACAAATGTGAAAGGGTAAGTCCCTTTAAGAGAAATCTAATGTGTACAGGGTATGCTGGAATGAACAGGGGAAGATAAGAAACACTTCATGAAGACCATGAAAGGTTCTCTACTTGTGTTTTTAGAATACTAGAAACACCCACACCTCCATTTCTAGAAATCCCAAACTCTACAAAGACACCCAGACCTCTGTTCCCTCTCCCCTCACATACTTGTTTTTTTTTTTAAGTTTTAAAACAGAGTTTATTAGTGAGAAGAAGAGAAAGACAAAGATTCTGCCAGATGTGGTGGCTCACACCTGTAATTCCAGCACTTTGGGAGGTGAAGGTGAGAGGACTACCTGAACACAGGGGTTTGAGACCACTCTGGACAACTTGGTGAGAATGTGTCTCTACAATAAATCAAAAAATTAGCTGGGCGTAGTGGAAGGCTGAGGTGGAAGGATTGCCTAAGCCCAAGGCTGTGGTGGCCGTGAGCCTGGGTGATAGTGAGATGAGACTCTGACTCAAAAAAAAAAAAAAGGGAAGATTCATGGCAGAAAGACCTGCCATGGTGCCATGGGCAAGTTTCTCAAAAAGAAAAGTAGCCCCCCCCACATACTTGTATATATCACTCCTGCAACATCCCCTCTCCCTGGAGCCTCTTCTACTATACTTCCTGCTTCCCAGGCTGCAGAAAGCGCTCTTTCACAGCACTCTGCACACTTGTGATTGCGATGTCTGCGCACTGCTGGGTCCCCAGGCCCAGCACATTGCCTGATAGACAACATTCAGTGGGTATCTGTATTACAGCCCAGCAAGTGGCACCTTGGCTCTGCTCCCTTCCATTTCCCCATTGGCTGACTCTTATTTAGATCATACTGCCTCAAAACCGAGGGATCATCAAGGACTAAATAGAAGGTGAGGTTGCAGGGATGCTGAATAGAAATGAATTCACATTCAAGCAGAGAAGTGAGTAGGGGAGAAACTGCAAGTCCTTACCTGGGATCCTGCTGTCCAGTGCTGCCCCTGCCATACAGCGGGATGACCTTGTCTCGGCTGATGCCAGCTTTGCAAACTGGACACACCTGTCTGTTAGGTCTGGTCTCCAACCACTGCAAACAGGAGAGAAAATCACATGAATGGCCCAAGGCTCACCACAGAGTGATCAGTCAGATCCTGTAGAACACAGGCCAGAGACCTGAAACTGGAAAACACCAGCACAAGCAGGGGACACCTCAAGGAATCTGACTCTCTGATTCCTGCTTCTAGTATTCAATAAATATTCGCCAGTGGTAAAATCAAAATTGGCTTCAAACACTATCATAATTAAACAGGTTTCTTCATGCTTGTTTGTCTCTAGGACCTCCCTTGCAACACCGAGGGAAGGAATCACAACCTTGGGCTGTCAAGAGGTCTGACATACTCAGCCTCAGTTTAGGTTATTGATACAGGTACAATGAACTTTACATTTTCAACTTCCCCACAGGAACAGCTGTATTATACTGACAGTCATATTTCTCTTTCTGTGATTTCTCTTTTTTTTTAAGTTGGAATCTCACTCTGTTGTCCAGGCTGGAGTGCAGTGGCATGCTCACGGCCACTGCAGCCTTGACCTGCTGGGCTCAGGTGATCCTTCTGCCTCAGCCTTCCAATTAGCCAGAACTACAGGCACATACCACCATGCCTGGCTAATTTTTTGATTTACTGTAGAGATGAGGAATCACCAAGTTGCCCACGCTGGCCTCGAACCCGTGGGCTCAGATAATCCTCTCACCTCAGCCTCCCAAAGTGCTGGAATTATGGGCATGAGACACCATGCCTGGCCTGATTTCTCATTTTTATAGCACTTCCCCAACAACTGTATCTCCCAGACATCAGCATCTGAAGATAAGCTGACATTTTCTGGTGATTTACTATGTGCCAAAGGATAAGTTTTACTCATTATCTAAATTTGCTTAATATTTTTTATGTAATTTTTTTGCAGTCAACTATTTCTTTGAATATCAAAATGTTTCTCAGGCCCTTTCACCTGTTACATTAAAAACATTTTATTTAACTTTCTTAAAAACAAAATAGCCAGGCATGGTTACTCATGCCTGTAATCCCAACTAATCGGGAGGAGAATTACTTGAAGCCAGGAGTTCAAGACCAGCTTGGGCAACACAGCAAGACTCTGTCTCTAAAAAAATAAAAACACAAGATAATTAGCCAGGCCTAGTGATGTGTGCCTATAGCCCCAGCTACTCAGGAGGCTGAGGCAGAAGTATTGCTTGAGTCCAGGGGTTTAAGACCAGTGTGAGCAATACAGCAAGAGTTCCATCTCAAAAAACAAAACAAAAGGTAATAAAAACATGTTAAGCTGTGTGTGGTGGTTCATGCCTGTAATCCCAGCACTTTGGGAGGCGGAGGCAAGAGAATTGCCTGAACCCATAGGATTGAGTCCAGCCTGGGCAACATGGCGAGACCCCCATCTCTACAATAAATAAAAAAGTTAGCTGAGCATGGTGGCACATGCCTGCAATTTCAGCTACTTGGAAGGGTGAGGCAGAAGAATCGCCTGAGCCCAGCAGGTCAAGGATGCAGTGGCTGTGAGTGTGCCCCTGCACTCCAGCCTAAGCAACAGAGTGACACTCTGACTGAAAAAGAAAAAAACAAAACAAAAGACATGTTAAGACACCTGCACATGCATATTTAATGTCATACTATTCACAATAGCAAGAAACATGGAACCAATCCTACTGCCCATCAAAGTTGACTAGATAAAGAAAATGTGATACATATACATGATAGAATATTACACAGCCATAAAAAGGAACAAAATCATGGACTTTGCGGCAAACTGGATGGAGTTAAAGACCATCATACTAGCTAGGCCCGGTGGCTCAGCCTGTAATCCCGCGCCTTTGGGAGGCTGAGGTGAGTGGATTGACTGAGCCCGCAGGTTCGAGACCCGCCTGGGCAACTTGGCAAGACCTCATCTCTACAATAAATCAAAAATTAGCTGGGTGTGGTAGCGCGCACCTGTAGTTCCAGCTACTTGGAAGGCTGAGGTCTGAGGCTGTGGTGGCCAGGAGTGGCCACTTCACTCCAGTTTGGGTGACAGAGTGAGACTCCAACTCAAAAAAAAAAAAAGACCATCATACTAAGTGAATTATCACAGAAACAAAGAACTGAATACCACATGTTCTCACTCATAAGTGGGCCTTGAACATTAATCACATTAGCATGAGGGATTGGCAGTCACTGGACACTGCTAGGGGAAGGAGGGAGGAAGGTGGGAAGCATGTGACAACACAAAGGGTAGTTGGGTCATTACTAGGGGGAGTGAGGGCCAGTTAGAAGCCCAGACTTCACCTGCATGCAGCCTACTTATGTAGTTAATCCTCACTTATACCCCACATTCCTATCATAAAATAAAATAAAAGAGGAAAAAAAAAATGTGAGGGTCTTTTTTTTTTTTTTTTGAGTTGGAGTTGAAGTCTCACCCTGTCGCCCAGGCTGGAGTGCAGTGGCACGATCATGGCTCACCAAAGCCTTGACCTCCTGGGCTCAGGCGATCCTTCTGCCTCAGCCTTCCAAGTAGCTGGGTCTACAGGTATACACCATCATGCCCGGCTAATTTTTTAAATTTATTGTAGAGACGAGGTCTCACCAAGTTGCCCAGGCTGGTCTCGAACCCCTAGGCTCAGGCAATCCTCTCACCTCTGCTTCCCAAAGTGCTGGGATTACAGGCATTAGCCACGGTGCCCAGTCATATGTTAGTGTCTTTACAGACATTAAATAATTTTATAGTATATTTTCTCAACATTTATTTTTAAACATAAATGACATATTTAGACCCAATGATATGAGGCTTATTATATAAATGTGAATCTAGGACTTTAGGGTTAAGGAGACCACAGCATTTAATGATTTTATATCCTACTTTCTTTATCTTGCTGTTGATGGCTCCAAAATTTATGTGTTATATGCTCTTCATAAACTCACAGCCAACATGTTCTATCAGGTGCTGCTAGGTCAGAATGTGCAGCTCTGTCCCGCCTTCTTTCTCCCATCCAGATTCTAAGGCCCTAGCAGACTGGAATGTTTGTCCTCCCCCGCATTCCCAGGCCACCTACGAGTGTGGTACTCTATTACTGAAACCATGGAGACATTCAGCTGGTGGTCATATTCACAGCCAATTGTGAATTCCAGGCCCAGCTCTGTCTCACCAAACAGGTGCCTGGGTCTTGGGGACTACTAACTGGTTTTCATAAGCTAAAGCTGGGAAAACAGACAAGGAACTTTTACAAAAGTAGAATCTTTTTTTTTTAAGAGATGAGGTCTTAGCCAGTCTCGGTGGCTCAGCCTGTAATCCCGCGCCTTTGGGAGGCTGAGGTGAGTGGATTGCCTGAGCCCACGGGTTCGAGACCCGCCTGGGCAACTTGGCGAGACCTCATCTCTACAATAAATCAAAAAATCAGCCAGGCGTGGTAGTGCACGCCTGTAGTTCCAGCTACTTGGAAGGCTGAAGCAGAGGATCGCCGGAGCTCAGCAGGTCAAGGCTGTGGTGGCCGGGAACGGCCACTGCACTCCAGTCTGGACGACAGAGTGAGACTCCAACTCAAAACAAAACAAAACAAAAAAAAAGAGATGAGGTCTTACTATGTGGCCCAGGCTGGTCTCAAACTCCTGGGCTCAAGCAATTCTCCTGCCTCGGGCTCCCCAAGTGCTGGGATTACAGGCATGAGCCACCATGATCTAGCCAAATCTTAAAAAATAAAAAGGACGTAACATACTAGCAAATCCAACCCAATTTATTTGTACAAATGAGTAACTGAGACCAGAGAGGTGATGGCCTGCTAAGGCCACAAAGGTCATCAGTGGCAGAGTTAGGACCATCCCGAATACCATACTGACCCCTTATTTCATCAAGTGCCTGCCAGTGGGCAGGTATGTAAAGAGGGCTGAGGGGCAAATGAGCCCACAGGCAGGGGAGATTGCAGCTTCTGTCAGAAGTCTCCTGAGTCTAGGGCTGTCTTGTGCAACCACAGCTGATGAAAGACAAAGTAAAATGAAATGCATCTTACCTGATGTAAACACGGCCAGCTGCAAGAGTCCCCAGGGCAACCAGTCATCAAGGAGAAGTAAAAGGGGAAAAAGAAGAAAAATGCTTTCATTAGCAGAAACACTTGGTGGGTGGGGTGGAGTAGCAGAATGGGAAAACAGGAGAAAAGTATGGTACTCTGCATCCTCACTGCAGTTCTACAGGTGTTACTGGTATCAGAAATTAGAAAAGACTGGGCTGAAATAACAGGGAAAATGAGGCAATGGAGACAAGACCCCAGTCTCCACCCTGGGATCCCACTACACATGAAGACCCTCAGCCTCCTAGACTCAGCTTCTTTACAAGTTAACCTTTGAGAGGTTACAGCCTCTGAAGAAATCCAATAAAAGGCCCCTCTGTGCAGAAAAATCCATGGTGGCATTTACATACACATGTACATGCATGCACATACTCTTCTACACTCCATTTCATGGCTTCATAGTCTGCTCAGGCTCACAAGAGATGTGTGGACTCCCAGTTAATTCACATCTAGTTTAACGAAGTCTTCAGGCTGTCCTCAGCCTTGAGAGCTTTGCTGGCAGGAAGCAGTTTAAAAGTTCAAGTCTAGTCTAAAAACATCTTTAAGAAATGGAAAGGATGGGGATGCTAATTGACAAAAAGGGTTACCTTCAGCTGCCAAACCTCCCATTTTTCAAATGAGAAAACCAAAGCTCAGAAACACGAAATGACTACATCAGTAAAAAATAAGTCTTCTGACTTCCAGTTCACTGTTCTATCACCCACCACTGCATACAGAAAATGGCATTTATAGAATTGAAGAAAAAGTTATTCAACTCAGATTTAAACTTTTTTCTCTCATTCATTTATTCACCAAATATCTACTACACACTCACTATGTGCCAGGACAGTGGAAAATGCAGACATGGTTTCTATCCCTCACACACCACGTAAGTAAACTTTGGACTCAAAGGATAATTCCTTTCCCAATTCCTGAATCACAGTTTAACTTTACAAATTAGAAATACAATCTTCCTGGACATAACAAATGCCTCACATTTGACTCCATTAACCTTGTGACACCATTCTAAACTGAGTGCAAAATACACCAAATTATGGCAGATCTCCACTGGCAACTTCCCTTAAAAGCTGTGGGGGAGAAGTAGAGGTGAATCAATGACCTTCAGGAGAAAGTTCCGGCTTTTAACCATGATGATGATTCCTCCCATTTATTAATTAACTACAATTATGTATCATTTAACAACAGGGATAGTTGTGAGAAATGCATTGTTAGGTGATTTAATAATTTTACAAAATCATGGAGTGCACTTATACAAACCTAGAGGGTACTACCTACTACACACCTATGCTATATGGTAGGGCAGAAAAATGCTTTCATTAGCAGAAACACTTGGTGGTTGTACAGCATGTGACTGTACTGAATATTGTGGGCAACTGTAATACAGTGGTTAAGTATTTGTGTATCTAAGCAAAGAAAAGGTAACTGCACTGTTCTATGATGTTATGACATCACTAGATGATAGGAATTTTTCAGGTCCATTACAATCATCATTGGCCAAAATGTCGATATGTGGTACATGACTGGACTGTATGCCAGGCTGCAGCTGAACAGCTTTTCATTTGTTAATGTCTCTGGAGGGTCACACTGACCTAAGGGGGTGCGACTATCTCCATTTTACAGATGGAAGAACCAGACTGGAAGCATCTATTTCATTTTATAGTCTGTATTCTTTCCCTACCTCTCTCTCTTTTTTTTTTTATTGATACATATTTTCATGGCACATGTGACAATCTGACATATTCATATAATCACATCAGGCTACCCTGGCTCTTAACTCTTAATTTCCTCAATCATTTCAAGTTCTAGTTATGATACCACAAAGTATTTCCAATTTCTTTTTCTTTTTCTTTTTAGCAGGATTTATCGAGAGGACAGCAAAGCTCCCACAGTGGGAGGAGACCCAAGGGGATTACCCTTATTTCCAATTTTTAGGAGAAGGCTGATCACAGTTTCTACATAAAGCAATGATTAGGACAAAAGCTTCGAGAACAAAAATCTCTGTCCCATTCTATTCATTCACCACTAAATTTATCTTTTATACTGTTGCCAACTTAAACTCCCTTAAATTCACTTACCTTTCTTCATATCATTTCCCTGCTCAGAAACATTCACTTAGTTCTATGTCCTTTGAGTCAAATCTGGATTTGGTAATCTGGCCCAACCCTCCCATAACCGTTCTTGTTTCCTAACACTCCCAGTCACTTATCCAGGGTGCTGTGAGAGGTATATAGTAGCCTGAAAGGGACCAAACAGTGCACATGCCTGTCCCTAGAAATTGCTTGCCTTGGGGTGTCACACACCCCTTGCCTTTCCTGGCATTTTCAATCCTCCCTTCAAGGTTCAGCTCAAAATCTCAAGAGAAAAAAAAAAAAAACAAAAAACTCAACATTCCCCCAGATTCTCAGAACGAGGAAGGCCTCCTGTAACTATCAAGGCTGGAATGGATATAAAAGATAGTAACAATTATTACAGTCATAGCTATCATAAAGTATTTACTGCATGCTATGTGCTTTTCTAAGTCTGTTACATATTTAGAGTAATTTAATATTTGCAAACAACCCTGTAAAATACAGCAGAGTCTGTATAAGCACCTTGCCCAAGGTCATCCAGTAGGAAGGTGGCAAAGTCCAGATTCAGAAGAAGTCTAGCTCCACAGTTCTTCCTCATAACCACTATGCTGTACTGCCTCTAGGCTCAGCACATCAAATGGTAGATAGTTAAGTGTCACCAAATGGTGAGTATTATTACTTTACAGATGGGGAGAAGGAACCGAGAGTAGAAACAGGAATTTCCCAAGGTCACCCAGTTCATCAGCAGCAAAGCTGGGATGGGAACCCAGGTCTCCTGCCTCTGGGGCCTGAGTGTATTCCCAAAGTGGGTAGAAAGCTTTCTGCTCCAAACCTGTGCAAGGCCACAGGTTTTCCAAACTTGGCAGTGTGTTTTCTGTGGTGGCAGCAGAGTTACTGACCAGAAGAGGTGGCCACACAGGCTGATGACAGCATCCTTGGCTGTGTCCAGACAGATGTTGCACTCGAAGGTACTGTCTTGCCCTCCGCTTTCTCCAGCACCATTGCTGCTCCCACTGGGCCCACCTGCACTGGAGTTCTCAGGGGATGCAGAGGCCGAAGGCCCCTTGCTGGCCATCCTCAACTGTCAGCGAAGCTCTGAGTGAAGATTCTCCCGAGATAAATCCTGAAAGGCAGAGAAAGCCACTGACTACCCATTTCTGCAGCCCATTCCCCTGGTTTCCATGCCAACAACCCCATCTTCTCTCAGTTCCAGAACTGATTATTACTGAACCCCTTAGGAGACTTCCCAAAGGGCTACAGAGAACGACAGTTATGGGGCACTACTCAGAGGATAATGACTCAGAAACTTCTCATGAACATGGTCTAGAATATATCATACAGACACACCAACTGCACAAATACAAAGAAGACTCCAAATGGTTCTCCAGAGGATCCAGGTCCTTCTCTCACTTGTCCTTATATTCTTCCATGAAAAGCAATCCAGATTATAAATATATGCTCAATTAAATAGAATTTTCAGGCTGTCCTCTAACTCTGGCAGGTGAATCTGCTCAGGCAGGAAGGCTGCAATTAGTATATGTCAAACTATAAAGAAATTCTTGTAACTGTGAAAGGTTAGGAAGCTAGGAAGGACCCGAAAGGTCATCTGGTCCAGTATCTTCCATATTGAAATCTTTTTCACTCCTTCTGTCATGTTAGAATGCTACCTACCTTATTTTGTATAAATCTATCAACTTTTTAGCTTCAGTACATTTAAGAGGAGGCTTACGTCACTGCTGTAAATAGAAAACCAGTATTATTTATCATAAGTGAAAGATAAATATAAATGTAATGAAGGAAAACGTATTTACCCTCAAAGTGCCTGTAATCATCTGGCACACTGATACTATGCTTTGAGCAACTTGATCTGGCGCAATCTCTTTAGGAAACTGCAGCCTGAGTTACCTTGGCTAGCTGACTAATGAGAGGCTGAGACTGGGACTCATGATACCCTGTTTGTATTCAAGTCACTGTATCACCACAGAACAAGTTGGCCACCAACTGCTGGTAGAAACAGATGATTGTTGACTACATCTCCAAGGCAAAGAATCCAGCCAGGATTTGAACAAGGAAGATGAGACCAGTACCAAGGGATACTCAGAAATTCTGGATGTACATTTAGAATCTGTCAGGAACCTAAATTGGTCATCCTCATCATCTCAGAAAAAAAAATTTTTTTGTGTGTCAGAGTCTCCCTCTGTCATCCAGGGTGGAGTGCAGTGGGATGATCATGGCTCACTGCAGCCTCGACCTCCTGGGCTCAGGCAATCCTCTTAACTCAGGCCCCCAAGTAGCTGGGGCAAAAGGCATTTCCAACCACACTTGGCAATTTTTTTTTTTTTTTTTTGTAGCTACAAGGTCTTGCTATGTTGCCCAGGCTGGTTTCAAATTCCTTGGCTCAAGCAATCCTCCTGCCTCAGCTTCTCCAAGTGTCAAGATTACAGGCATTGAGCCACAGCACCCAGTCTCAGAAATTCTTAGTAGGAACTGGAGGCTTGGATGCCGGCCTCAGCTGAGCCTCCAGCTTGCTAGGTGGTTTTGGGAACATCCCTTCCCCTCTTCTGGCCATAGTTCTCTCATCTGCAAAATGAGGCACTGGACTAACTTATCTTCTAGGTGCCCCCATCCAGCTCTTAGATGATGCCACGCCAGGTCATCTTACCTACTGTCTCCCAAGCAGGCAGCCCCTCCTCGAGTTTAGGACTCACCACTGGAGCTCCAGGAGACCACCCTGATTTAAGCTTCGAAGGTATGAGAAAGCCTTTCTTCCCACACGGTAGTCTCAGAGCTCTGGCCTCATGAGCATCCCTCACCACGATAGCAGCTCAGTGACTTAAGCAGGGAGAAGGACAGCACACTGCCACTTTTTCATTCAGTTACATCATTTTACATAATGTCCCAGAAGGCAGCCGACTGCTGCTGGCAGCCTCAGTGCCATGCTGGCCTCAGCTCCTATACTTTCTCCCTGACCTGGTACTTCCTCCTCTCCATATACATCTGCTCTCTTTGTCTTAGGATAAAGTTTGCTTTTGAGGGTCACATTTCTGCCTTTCCTCATCATTCCAGCTCAAGTACACCAAGAACCCAACCCATGTATATTTCCTTGTTTTAAAAAAAGTCTTTTAAAATTAAGAACTAGGCAACACCCTCAGGTCCCCTCCCACTGTGTGAGCTTTTCTGCCCTCTCAATAAATCCTGCTTTCTAAAATAAAACAAAATAAAATAAAATAAAGTAAAAAAAAAAAAAAAGAACTATGCATAGAGATGTGGAAAGACAACCATAAAGTCTAAGGCTTTTCTAATCAATTTTAATAATGCTTCCTGACATGATGCAACAGGAAGTACATATCACCATCAATGAAACATTTTTGCCTTAAAATACAGACTCTTGTCAAGTCTCAAAACAAATTACCCATTTACAGAAAATATGAAGGATAGAAACATATATTAAACAACTCCATGAGGATCTAATGAGTTAAATTCAGAATGTGGGACTTTCTACAAATAACCCAAGTTCTACAAAAAATAAACAGAATGGGAGGGCCCTAGGGCTATAGATTGAGATATAAAACAAACTGACCACTTGTAGTGTGTGGATCTCACCGGAACCCAGATTCAAACAAACTGCAAAAAGGCATTTGTGACATAACTGACAAAAATCAGACTTAGCCAGGGTATTAGTTGATATTAAGAAATTATTCATTTTTTGAGTATGATAATGGTATTATGTACTTTTTTTAATTAAAAAAAAACTTTTTAAAAAGATGCCAGCCAGGCTCGGTGGCTCAGCCTGTAATCCTGTGCCTTGGGAGGCTGAGGTGAGTGGATTGCCTGAGCCTGCAGGTTCAAGACCC